ACAGAGTGTGGCACAGTCCCTAGAACATTATAACACTCAGGAGCTGGGAAGGAGCCCTGGGATTAGGCTCAGACAGAGTGTGGCACAGTCCCTAGCACATAACACTCAGGAGTTGGGACACAGAGCGTGATGCAGCCCCTAGCACATCATAATACTCAGTGGATCCCGACTTCATTGCCAGAAGTGGAATCAGTGATGAAGGCAGATGTTAAAATAACAAAACAGGCTGCAGGCCAGCTGATAGCGGAGAAGGTTACGGAAGAGCTAAGAGACAGAATAGTGGCTTTCCTTTCCAAGGCCAGAGAGAGAGCAAGAGCAAGAATGAGAGAGAGAGAGAGAACAAGTTTGTGTTTACGGAGAAGGGGACAAGGGAGAGAGGACTAAAAACAATAATGAACCTCCTTTACCTGAAAATCACAGACAGCTGCTCAGGGTAGACATCTGCTCCCCAGTATCTGCCTCAACATTCTCCTCTAAGATTATATTCAGCACAATGACTGTATTTTGTTAATACAGTACTCAGCTCTATTTCCATAGAACCTACCATAATTTAAGAAGGTCAAGAGCATATAATACATTGACATTTTTATTAAAAGAGAAGATTCAAATGGCAGCTGTTAATGTCTCAGCAATCTAAAACATTTGCTTAAAAGGAGGACTATAATACCCATGGATGTGAAAAAACAAAGACTTAATAAATTAATTCAAATAATTCTAGCTACAACTCTGGAGTGAAGAAATGTGCAAAGTAATAGCTTGATGCTGAAAAACTATGGTGCCCTCTACACAATCTATACAATTTTAAACCTAAGAGCACAGATTTTAAAGCTGGCAATAAGATGATGGGTCATAATCTTTAATCATCAGAGAAAGGCAAATCAAAACCACTTTGAGATACCATCTAACTCCAGTAAGAGTAGCCCACATAACAAAATCCCAAAACTTCAGATGTTGGTGTGGATGTGGAGAAAAGGGACCACTTCTGCACTGCTGGTGGGAATGCAAGCAAATATGTTCCTTTTGGAAAGAAGTTTGGAGAATACTCAGGGATCTAAAAATAGACCTGCCATTGGATCCTGCAATTCCTCTACTAGGAATATATCCAAAAGACCAAAAATCATTTGCCAAAGAAGATATTTGCACCAGATTATTCATTGCAGCTCAATTTGTAATAGCCAAGTTATGGAAGAAGCCCAAGTGCCCATCAACCCATGAATGGATTAATAAATTGTGGTATATGTATACCATGGAATACTATGCAGCCTTAAAAAAAGATGGACACTTTACCTCTTTTATGTTTACATGGATGGACCTGGAACATGGTCTCCTAAGTAAAGCATCTCAAGAATGGAAGAAAAAGTATCCAGTGTCCTCAGTACTTGTATGAAACCAATTTATATTTACTCACGCTTTCTTATGAAAGATAGATCACAACTATAGCCCAGGATGAAGGAGAGAAATAGTGTGGGAAGGGAGGGGAGAGGGGAAGTTTGATAGAGGGAGGGTAAATGGTGGGACCACACCTATGGAGCACATTGCAAGGGTACAAGTCAGATCTATCCAGTATAGAACATAAATGTCTTAACACAATAATCAAGTGAATATGGTTAAACCTATATTAATTAGTTTGATGTAAGTACTTCAAATTGTATTAAAAAAATCAACACACTGTACCCCACAAATGCATAAATGTATTCAGGATCTATGTGTATATGACTTAATAAAAATAAATAAATAAAGGTCTTATCTTAAGTACATATGTTTATAAATATTTAGTTTACCTCCTATGAAGTTTCACTTTATTTAGACAAAAGGTTAAACAGGGTAAAGTAAATCAAATATACAGTTTCTCAAGGATATTTCCCACTACCATTACATTACAACCTTTTCTTTATGGGTTTTTGTTTTTTTTTTTTTAGTTGTTGTTGTTGCAGTTTGGCCAGGGCCGGGTTCAAACCTGTCACCCTCAGTATATGGGGCCAGCACCCTACTCACTGAGCCCCAGGCACCAACCTCTTTTTCTTTATGTTTTTAAAAATCAAAATCTTCCATCCTAAAAAGAATTCATTTCCACATAGAAAAATGATTGAGTGATAGAAAAGTACTCAAAACATCTACTATTATATATAATTATGAAAAGTTTAGCTGCTTATTAAGAAATTTTATATTAATATAAAACACATAGATCACTAAGAATAAAATTCAGAATTGTAATTGCAAAACAAAATACTAAAGTAGTATTTTCTTCTCAGCTCACACCTATATCCCTGAAAATATAAGATACCCAAATGAGGTCATACAGAAAAAGAAATCTTAAAATACTACAACACTATCTCTGAGTATATAAAGGAAGGGGTGGTACAAGAGCTGTTAGATTATATTCCACTATCAAGCTAATTTGGTGCATAACTACTGTGAACATTTGCTAAGTATTCTCTGAAGTACACAATAAATATTACCATCACATTAAAAAAAGTTTTTACTTCAGAAACTAAAGAGAATTTTCTTCACTTTCCAACAAAAAGATGGCTGTTCGTGAGTTTTATATTTACCTTTCATATCTGACATTAAAATTTGCCGGGGGGTGGCACCTGTGGCTCAAAGGAGTAGGGCGCCAGCCCCATATGCCGGAGGTGGCAGGTTCAAACCCAGCCCTGGCCTAAAAAAAAATTTGTCAGGGGATCACAATAACATCCTGCCATGGTTATATACATCTTCCTGGGCATATACATTAAAGGAAGATGAAATGAAAAGTGGCAATGATTATTTTCAAATGAATTTTATTAGTTTACATTAATGTGTTAATTTGTGAAAATTATAGCTTGAGTTCAAGTTGGTTATCAGTTTCTTTAAACTCATAGAAATAAGGAAATAATTTAACCAGATACCTTATAACATACATAAAAACAAAATATTTTACCTTTAGAGGCCTGCAAACTCCCTCGGTAATATGCCCAACAACTTCTTGAATACTTTCTTCAACACCTAAAATTAATTACTACATAATTACATTTTTTATTATACTTTGCTTTACATAAGTCCAAAAACTAATAAACAAAATATTTGTGAATAACTGTACTAATAACATTTAAAATAACAATAAGAACATTTTATTAAATTTGATATCTTTAATAGATAAAAGTATATCTAGAAATTATTAATTCCATTGAGCGCAGAATTAATAAAATGAACATTATTGCTTTGTGGAAAAGACTATGCAATTTACCAACTGAGGAAAACAATGTAAAGATGTACTTGCATTTGTTTGACAAACACCTTACTTCAGGTGGTGCCAGTGAGTACAAAACTGAGGGCAGAAAGACAAAAACGTACCTTGCAATCCAGGGGAAAAATACTATTTTCTAAATAACAACTGTCTACAAAGCACTTTACTGAGACTTGACTTACTACTGTAACCACCTTCATTTCCACAGGTGGAAAGTGAGGCTCAGAAGCCCTAAGTCATACCCACAGAATGACCTATTTCATCTAATGCCAACCTATTTTCTTTCCGCCTCTTAATAATTAATACTGCTTCTCACACATACTTTTCTAAAACATCTTTAAAGAAGTACATTCTTTGGCTCGGTGCCTGTGGCTCAAGCGGCTAAGGCGCCAGCCACATACACCCAAGGTGGCGGGTTCGAATCCCCAGCCCGGGCCCGCCAAACAACAATGATGGCTGCAACCAAAAAAAAAATGGCCAGGCGTTGTGGCAGGCGCCTGTAGTCCCAGCTACTTGGGAGGCTGAGGAAGGAGACTCGCTTGAGCCCAGGAGTTGGAGGTTGCTGTGAGTGTGATGCCATGGCACTCTACCCGGGGGATAGCTTGAGGCTCCGTCTCAAAAAAAAAAAGAAGTACATTCTTTCAAAGTGGGTATTTAGAATAATAACAGATAAAATCTTTAAAAAATGCAGACTTTGTGCCAATCTAACATATATGCTGAGCCAAATCTCAGTAATGAGGAGTCCAACACTACAAGGCTGTATCACCAACCACTCTACTCTGGCCTCTTGTGCAGATCATGTGATGAGCCACAGGGATGTGTGGCTGAGCTCTGCAAACAGTCAAGTCCTACCAAGTCACAATATTTCTCTTCACTTCCTATCAAAAACAGAACATCTTTTAATCACACATTAAACCCACAAAACTTAAAAAAGTATCCAATGTACTCAGTAGTATTATGAAACCAATTTACAATCACTCACACTTTCACATAAAGAATAGATCACAACTATGGCCCAGGATGAAGGGGGGGATGGGAGGGGCGGGGGAGGTCAGATGGAGGTAGCATGAATGGTGAGATCACACCTATGGTGCATATTTTAAAAATTTAGCCTGGTAGAATACTGTTTATACTGTAAACATATATATTGTATATATGCCAGAAACAGACCTTAGGTTATTTTCTATAATCAGGTATTAGCAATAACAATACAAGGGTACGTGTCGGATCTATTAAGTATAGAGTATAAATGTCTTAACACAATAATTAAGCAAATGAGGCGAGGGATATATTAACCAGTACAATGTAAGCATTCCAAATTACATATAAAAATCAGCACATTGTACCCCCTAAATGAATTAATGTATACATGATCTACCTCTTTATGATTTAATAAAAAAAAAAAAGACTTAAAAGATGTTTTAGAAAAGTATATGTGAAAGGCAGTAATAATCTGAAGTAAAGTGTTTGTCAAACAAATGCAAGTACATCTTCACATTGTTTTCCTCAATTGGTAAATTTCATACTCTTTTCCACAAAGAAATAATGTTCATTTTATTAATTCTACACTCAAATCACAACTAAGATTTGAAATTCTATAAACAAGATGTCACTTCACTTCACTTTTCCCCCTTGAAATCAACAAGAAAATTTTAAGTCCACTTAGTACATATGGTGATTATTTTAAAACACAGTCCCATGAGAATGAAAAGAGGCAAGGTAGCAGAAATGAAAGAATTAGTAGCTTACTGAATGCCCTTGACCAAGTCACTCAGGCCATTTACTCATAGACAAAATGAAGATAATATCACTTTTTACCTTTATAGTAACATGCCAAGGATTTGAGATAAGGTACGCTAAACACTCCAGAAATCTCTTAAAAGTAGAGGAGTCTCTAGGCTCGATATGAAAGGTTCCAAGTATCCACTATAAAATGGAACCGGTGAGTGAAAAAATCAAAGTGCTGGAGAAGAAAATTTAGTAGTAAAATAAGGGAGGGTCTAGAGAGAGAAAGAGTAATTCAGACACATTGAGTGCATCATCTAGGTGAGAAGTGTTTATAGCTGTGGAGAAGATGGCAACAAGAACAGAAACAGACCTTAGGTTATTTTCTCTCATCAGGTATTAGCAATAACAATCCGTGCACCCACCTTGTGCAGTAACATGCTTTAAGAGAGCTTCAAGGTGTTCCTTTTCAGAAGCTGTAGCCTGATGGAGCCAAGCCAACATATCTCCCACATACCTAGTGAAAACTAAGTATTAATAAGTATTTCCCTTGAAAAAACATCAAACCCTATGTACTGCCAACTGATTATTATACCTCAAAGGGTCATGAGAGTGCATTTCAATGGGTCTGGGTGTACCTCCTGGACCCCCTCTTGTAAGAGCATCAATAAATCCACGAACAACTGTACTTCTTCTGGCTGTTCCAAATTCATCTAAGGTATACCTAGAAGAAACAGGTTATATGAAAAGCAGTTGGTATTTTTTCTAAGGGTTATATCAGATAAGTTATGCAATCTCTGAGATAAGCAAGACACCTATAACTCCTTTAGGCACTCTTTCAAACAATACTACTTGAAGCAAGAAAACAAAAAGATTTACAAGATAACTTTAGCATACTGAAAATTCAATCCAAAGGTACAAATTTTTACTCTTTCGAGAAAGAATGCTAGGATTCCAGATAATACAGTGGCAGCAGCAGTTAAGTAAGTAGCTACAATGAATTTAGTAAGAAAACACCAAGCTAAGGGGAGAATCCCTAGCTCTTCAGGTTTCAGGATATTTGCAGTCCTCTTCCATGAAGCCACAATATCTAGTTTTCAGAAGCTGGTTATTTATTAGAACTCTGCAATCCAAAATTTAAGACTGTTTCTTCTACATTCAAAAATTATCCTCAACACCAAAATTTGCCCCCAAAATTGCCATCCATTTTTATAGTTTATTTTGACCTCAATATTAAGACTTTTAAATTAAATGTTCCCTAAATTTGCTGACCAATCATACATACACCACAAATACTTTTTTTTAAAAGAAATAGTTAGAAGTCACCCACTATAACTAAAAAGAAGGAGAAAGGGTCTCTAAAGTGAAAGAATTGGTAGGGAAGGAAAGCTCTGAACTGAGGGATAGGACAACTTGAGATGCAATTTATGAAGATGGCCTAGAGGTGCTAGGAATGCCCATTTCTATGATTAGACTCAGCCCTGTTTCCCATTACCACCCCCCACTTCTTACACCCATCCCCCAATTGAAAATTCTTGGTATTTTAAACATATACTGGAAAACAAAATGTTTTTTAGCAGTCTAACGGTGGCAAATTCTTCTGGACCCATTAACTTTTAAATCCCTAAACAATATTCTACCAGGCTAAATTTTTTAAATCACTAACCTATACATAAAGAAAAAAACACCAAAACTTCCCAAAGATTTCCAAAACAATTCACTTCTTAGGCTACATACTTTCTTTCATATGCTGCTGATTAAATGAGGAGGACACATTTTAGTAAATACAAGAAAACTGAAAGAGGAATTATTTCCAGTAAGAGGGCAAGTCTGGAAATGTGGTGAACAGCTATACATTTTTAGGAATCTGAACCTTGGAGGACTGTTTACTATTAACTAGACTGTGGTTCTTTCAGTGTTTTCTATTAAAGGCCAATGTTTTCAAATTCCCTGCAATGACATACTAGTACAGGAAAGAAAAAGCGCAATAGCAAGCTAAGTTCTGCTAAATTGCATAATTGCCTTGCATTTACTTTCTATTTTTAAAACAAATTAGAACCAACATGCTCACTTCTATTTCCTCCCCCCATGCTTATTATAAAATCCACTTTAAATTATAAATCCACTTAGTGTGTAGAGGCATTCTTTTAAATGATCACTGGATTCTATGAACTAAGGAATGTAGAATCAGATGACCACTCAAAACAGGACAAAAGTCACAAATTTTTAACTTTTTAAAATATATAAAACTAGCACTCACTCACAAGACCCTACTAACCAAGTAAAAACAAACAACATAATTTGTTTCTAGGACTATTCACTGGTACCATCATTATATACAAAAAAAGCAAATCTACTAGTATTTTAAGTGGGGGCAGGAGGGCAGAAATTACCATGCCTGGCAAATACTGGAATTTAATCTGTTCAATTACATGAAATATCAATAAATATTAAATTAGTGTTTATCCTCCTAAAGAACAAATATAATTGAAAGGAAAAACAGCATATACTACAATGAACCTTCAACGATATCTATAGACGTGAAACATCTTTCCCAGGGACAGAGGGAAATTTCTTTGACAAAATCAGACTCTCTTTCAAAAATGATGAAAAATCCAAAATGTACTTTTATAAAGGTAAAAGTTCAATTTATGTAAACATTCTAAAATGTCTCTAGTTAAAATTAAAAGCTCCATTTCTAAAATCGTGTCTACCTACAGTTAAAGAAAAGGAAAAATTCTGGTCAAAAGTAAATTAAAAGAAAAATTTTACCGAAAAACAAGTTAAAAGATTAAAAAAAAAAATACAGAATCTCCGCTTTAGAATATAACAAATAGAGAACAAAGAAAAATCAGCAATGTGGTCATTACTATACTCTTAAATAACTTATATTCTGAAGATTTACCAAGGAAATCACTAAATATTTTTCACTTCCCCTTATAGTAAATCTCTTTTTAAAGGAATTTCTATACTTTGTTCACTAAAACTAAATAATGCATTAACATTCCAGTGAATACTACCTAAGAAACACTGAGTATGACCTTCCATAACTGACATTTTCTTACACTTGATACCTATACAACTAAGACACAATAATCAACAGTGAAGCTTTTATACATTACTTACAAAGTTCACAGAGCGCCATCTGGTGGTTAAGATGATACATTAAGTTTTTCCTAAATAAGGAAACCCTCTTAGAAAATAGAGGACCACTGAAGGAAAAGCCAATTTTCTCTTTTTTGGCATTTATCTCCCCTTAATCATCTGGTCTTAAAAACTTACTTCCCCACTCAACTTCCAAACACTTCTAAAGTCTCCTAAATTGCCACAGTTGCCCTCATTCCCTGACATATGCCCTTCAGAGATAAACCTTCTTGGCTTCTCTATTTTAGCCCCATTCTTTGACTTTTGAGCTTTTCCCCTGATTCCCTTAAATATAGTCCTCTTTAGTTGAGAGCTTTCTAGTCACTTCCTCTCAAAATAAAAATAATACCTATAATTTAGTGATGCACCAAGCACTGTACAATACTAAGCACCAATGTGAATAAACGGAATCTTCACAAAATTCTGTAAAATAGGCATTATTCTCTAACGTGCCAGATTTTAACATTGGTAAAGTGGAACACCACTGACGTCGTGGGGGGGCGGATTTGTTCTTAATTAAAAATTTGGTCTATATGGAGCAACAAAAATTTTCATAGAACGCAAAAATAGTATTGTAATATATATTTTTTAATTTCAACATAAGTACGATTTACAAATATAATACATTAAAAAAATTATGTATAGGGCGGCGCCTGTGGCTCAAAGGAGTAGGGCGCTGGTCCACCTGGGCAACCTTGCCCAGGAGGGGAGTAGGGAGTTTACATTAGCCTTTTCATTCCCTAATGGAGTTACATTAACCTTTCCAGCAGCCGAAAACCGTATATTCCGTTCCCTTTGTCCCGCCGTTCCCTAGCTTGTCGTGCATTCTTTCCAAAAATTGGGACTTTCTAAAAACGCTGCGGGATGTGGGACAAATTGTTCAAAAGCTGGACGTCTGGTCACCTTATTTTACTCATCTGCCAGCCAAGGAAACTGAAAGCTTATACGGGTAAATTTAAGGCCCTGGCAAATAAATCCAACTCAAGAGCCCACCTTATAAAACCATTATTCAATATTGCTCCTTTCCAAATGCTGATCAAGAATTATAACTTAGCAAAAAATTATTTGCATGGTAGAAGTTGGCTATCTTTTTCAGGTGCCTAAAACATATAAAGGCACTTTTTAAAAAAGAAGATTAACCTTGTGAACAAATATTAATCTGTATACAATGTTAATACCTGATTAAAATCAAACACCAATTGTTTAAAGTAATAAAGACTTAAGTATGCCAGTATCTTAAAGTGAAAAAGTTAAGAAATTTCAAAACAGAAATAAACCAGGAAGCACTGGTCAACAGTGAACATCAGGCTGATCACATGTACACACCTAACATTCAGGGCTGTTATGATCTGGCCTTTGCTACTAACTCAAGAGCCAGGACAGTCTTCTGCAAGTTAATTTCCCCACAGCACAGGTTCCCTCTCACTCCCTATCTCTGCACCTTCTGCTTCCTCAACCTGGAATGTTCTGTCCTAACTTTTAGGAAACTTTCCCAGAATTATTTCTTTCCCTTACCCCAAACAGAATACTTCCTCCACATGGCAACTGGGACATTCCCTTAGCCTATACAATTAATATATTTGATTAAAATGCACTTGTTTATGTTTGGTTCCATAGAATAAAGCAACTTGAGGCCAGTACTTTACGGATGCTGTGTCTTTAGCACTTAGAATGGTGCTTAACACATAGTACTCAGTAGCACTTGAGTGTTGTTATTGTACAAAGTTGTCACACCATCTGTGTTCTGTAAACTTATTATAGGATAAGTAACGTTCCAAGTCAGAAAGTAATGCAGAAATCCTCTAAAAATAGTATAAGCAATACCTAAAAGGGATGATTGACAGCAGGATTCAATACCTTGGTAAGAGTCCCTTAGTTTCCTGTTTCCTGAATTATCATCAATCCATTGGTCTACCTAAAGCTTAATTCTCAAACTACTCTACGCATTAAAAAAAAAAGAATTTACTTTCTATTTTATGAGAAGCAAAAGAATAAAACTGAAATACAGGGTAGCCATAAAGTTTGTATGCAACTATTTAAATTCCACATGAACTTTATGGCCACCTTCTACAGAATAAAAAATATATATCGACAAGTTTCAAATGTACTCTTACCTAAAGCATTACTACCTAACTCTTGGTTGGCATATCTTACTGATCAAAGGCCCAAACCCTTTCTTTTCTTGAATTTATTAATTGAAGACTGATATTAAATATTTGTTTTTTCATTTCTGAATAATTTTTTCCTGTAGTCCCAATATGACTTCTTCCCCCCAGGCATGGTTGATGCAGGAGTTTCAGTTACTTAGAATCCCAAGGGAGTTAATGAGATGACAGACTGGGGAAAGGCCCTGACTTCTACATAAATAAGAGGTAGTCTAGGCACAGGGACACATTGCTTTTCCTCTCCACACTGTATTCTATAGTACGTAATATTCAAGTAAGCTAATATGCTAAGGATACACATGCAAGTTGAGATGAAAATATCACTGTAAATATAAGTATTACTCAAATTACTAATTTGTTAACAGTGAAAATTAATGTAAATTATCAAAGGAAAAGTACTGTGGCTCGGCGCCTGT